AGGTTCCCAGATTGGTTAGAAGGCAACATCTGATCTACTGTGTTCTCATCTGCTCTTCGCTTTGAATAGTAGCAAGCCTGTGTTACAAAGTCAGCAGCCTCAATTCTTCACCAGACCCCAGATGCACACACTGCAAACATATTGCTGCTGCAAAATGTTTGTCTCCGGAGCCCTGGGGCAGTGTCTGGCTACATCCTAGCTGCTAATCAGGGGTATCTTCTTTCACCAGAGGGTCTCTAAGCTTCCAGTCCACTCCATCTTGCCACCAGAAAAACAAAAAAAACAAACTCGGTGCAGTTAAGTCGATTCCAACTCATAGCGACCCTATTGGACAGAGTAGAGCTGCCCCACAGGGTTGCCAAGAAGCGGGTTGGTGGATTCAAACTGCTGACCTCTTGGTCAGCAACAGAGCTCTTAACCACTGCGCCACCAGGACTCCCCATCTTGCCACATGTGCTAGAAATCTGTTGATTGCCTTTTTTTCTTTCCTAGTTTCCATGGAGATGCAACAGTTTACTTCTTCTCCCCCAACTATAAGCCATGGTTATTTTTAACTGGAAAACTCTGAGCCAGGTCACAGCTGGGATCTGGATGATGCAATGACGTCTACAGCCACCTTTCTCTCCCACAGACGCCCCCTTTTCTGTAGTTGTTGGGGGTGGAGGCACTCTTGGGAGATTTCACTCTCAAAAGCATTTTGCTTTGCATCATGAAGTTAAACCTGTGCCCTGACTTTGATCTGACAGCTGCCCTGAATCTGAAGCTATGCATGCCTAGAACAAGGAAAAGATTTTCTTGTTGCAGTAGGAGCAAGGTAAGGTTGACGTTGTTGGCACCTCTCCATGGCTGGAGCTTAGATAAATGTCCTATGGTAAAAATATATCAAGGCATTATCTTCTAAGCAAACAATAAAGGCTCTGGTTCCTGCCCCCAGAAGAATGGCTTTTTCTGCTGTAGCTTGCCCTTGGTTAAAAAGAGGCTCCTAATAGGGGATATGGAAACCTTCGTGGTGCGGTGGTTAAGAGTTCAGCTGCTAACCAAAAGGTTGGCAGTCTGAATCCACCAGGCGCTCCTTGGAAACCCTATGGGGCAGTTCTACTCTGTCCTATAGGGTCGCTATGAGTCGGAATCAACTCGATGGCAACGGGTTTGATTTTTGGTTTTTAATAGGGGATATTGTGTGGAAGAGCTGCTGACCCACCTCTCCAAGACAGAGAGCAAATTCCTATCTCAGGGTCAGAACACTGCTGCCTCCTCTCCTCTGCTAAAATTTCCAGTCAGCCCACCCATCTCCAAGGTCCTTGGTACATGGGAGTGAGTGTCTCCATGGCATTTCTGACCTTTTATTTCTTTTCAGTGATTTTCGGGGAAAAGCTTTTAAATTCACCCTGAAAACTGCCCTTTTTAACCTACACAACTTCCAAAGATTGAAAACTGGCATAAAAACATCAGACTTCTTAGCCCCAATTCAAAATCAGTTTTCCTACAGGGTACATTCACATTCATTGGGGGCACTAAAATTAAGCTCCACAGCCCAGGTTCCATTAGTTTTTTATTTCTTAAAATAGTATATATACATGTTATTTACGTTTTAAAGGAATTCCCTAAATAAAGGGTGATAATAGGGAAAAAGTCTAAATCAGTAGCTACCTATTCTCTAATGGGAAAACAGAGACTCAGGTCATCGTAAACAATTCAGAAACAGGGAGTATACTTGGCAGATAGCTCTCCCAGGAGAAGAGAGATGTATTAAAAGTGTCATGAGTTGACACTTAACTGTCAGTTCCCTGAATAAGGGTGATAAGATGACAGCATTTGCAGCATTTTTGCTTTAAGAAAGTGTTGGTTTCTTAAAACAGCTATCAGGTCTTCTCCTTTCTACACTTCCTAAGATGCTACTTCTGGTTCAACATAACTCTGGACCAAGGTAGGAAGGATTATTAGCAAGTCACCTGGAAGCTTTTTGCCACATAAGATCTCTGGGGAGACCACAGGAAGCTGAAAAAAACATTGCTTGGTTAAGAATGGGAGATTAATTCAACCAAATGATTAGTTTAGTGTCTAAATCAATCCCCTGGGCTCCAAAGTAGAAAATAAGTGCATTAGACTCAACTATCCAAACCCAAACGACATACAAGTCTTTGCTGCCAAAATTGAACTGTAGGGCTTTCGCAGACAAGGGGAGGTACAGTGACATCCAGGGCTACATATATTAAATCAATTTTTTTTCAGCTCTCAGCTTTGGGTTTTTCAACCTTTTAGTTGTCACTGTCTGCATTCTTATCTATTCCTTATTCCTACCCTCAGCAGGGAAGTAACTCATAGTGACAAAGGAATTTTAATGTCAGATGCAGGATATTCAGACATTCCTTAAATTCCTGTGTTTGATCTGTAAACCTGCTCAACTGAATCAAAGGACAGCTGATACCTCCTAATCACAGCAGACCTCAACTGCTGGAAACCAAGGCAGCAGGCAAACACTGAACAGAAAGAGAACTCCCTCTCCCATTAGATATGCAAATTAGCTTCACAGATCTCTCAGTTAACTACTCGCCTGTCCCCTCCTCAAAAGAAGCGCACTAACACTTCAGTTCTGATGTATATTTCATGGAGAGGCTACTTAGGTTCCAAAATACTCCATACTTAACTGCTCTTCACTAGTATTCCTCCAAAAAAAACTTTGATTAAAAAATAAATTTTCAAAATTAAAAAAATTTTAAAAGCCAGGTACATATAAGTTATGAAAAAGTTTTTCGTGTTATTCAAAATAATGCAGTGTATATCTAGTAGGTACCCACAAAGACATCCTTAAAAATGGATGGTCGATGTTCCAGAATGCTGTTTAGAAGACCTGGAGACAGTGAAAAAGTGTCTTGGGAGGTAAATATGAATGAGTTTTCCCAAGCTACTCTGTGTAATTCAAGGCTCTCTGATTCTTCACATTGAAGATTTTAGTTCTCTTAGTATATATTTCCTAAAACTGGAATTTTAGGACTAGACTTACCAACTAGAATTTTTTTGTTATTGATGAATGTCATTGGCTTTCCCATTTCTCCACCTAACCACCAGATGATGGTTTCATGACTCAAACCCGGGAAAATTGTTCTTATCTCTCAGCAGTGACTAGCTTATCAGTCCAGTTCAGATAAAACGGGTGAGGGGGTAAACAATAAAGAGACAAAAACTGGAACCTGGGAAAAGAAAAACCGTGAATATTTAGTATTAGTCTCTCAAGAGAGATGGTCTAGGTCTTTGAGCACAGGAGAGGTTCTTTATGAAAAGTGTGCTATTTCCCACCACTGACAGAGAAGGATATGCATAAATCTCCAGCAGAAACCTTCAGTGTTAAATTGCAATTAAAAATTCCTAACAATAAAAGATCTTTATTCATGTCACTGAGTTTCAAAGCAAACGTTTCCTCTTCTGAGATGATCTAAACTAGGCGAGACCTCTATTAATGTAGTTGGTTTATGACCAACCCTGTCTAGAAGCAAAGAGGAGGGATAGAATGTTCTTTCAAAGGCCCTTGCTAGCCCTGGATTTTTAGTACCAAGAAGTGGGCTTCCCTAGGTGATAAGAACAAATGTATTAAAGCAGCTTCATCAAATAGCAGCAATTGCTTTTCTATTATAAATGCAAAAAGATAGCAACTCAGTGACTCCTTTCAAGAGTATTCCTCACACAAAATATGGCTTGTCCTTTGAGAAACTCACTAGGGATTCTACATCTTTAAATTTGCAAAGTTGAGTTTATCAAAACAATTATCATACTTACTAAAATCCAGTCATTTGAAATTACAGCCATATTTTTCTATCCCTATGTTCAACCATGCCATTTCCCTCATCAAATCTACTGATTCCCCATCAATTTTTTAGAGTTCAGTTGGTTCCAAGGTTTACATTAGACAGTCCTACCATCCTCCCACCCCTGACTACCACAGCTGCCCCTTTTGTTCTAGCCAAATAAATCTCTTGGCACCATTTTTCTTACTCCCACTGCTACCTCCACATCATCCTCCACCCACTGTGTCTGGAACAGTCTCCCACTTCCTCCATCTGCCACTTTATCTCTCTCCCTTCAATCATATCATTGCCTAAAAGGCCACCTCTCCCAGGAAGTCTTCCTTAATCAAAATTAGGACTCTAACAGATACCACCTGACACTGATGTCTAATGAATCTCAATTTTTTAGAACCAGAAACGAAAGGGATGCAAAGGTTGCAGGATGTCAGCAGACATTTTACTCTCTGAAGACAGAAATTATCTTTCAGGGATAACAGGCAATCCTTTATAACTGACTAGGGGTGATGGTGGTGGTGGTAGAATATATTTTCTAAGAGAAACAACTATTTAAAAGAGACCATTTCCATAAACCACCCTTTTTAAAGACTGAAGTCCTCTATTCCAATTCCCTCAGATTGTTAAGAGTTTCCTTTTCTCAACCCCTAGATGAAGTCTGTTAGCAATACATGCATGTTTACATCCGTCAAAGAGTTTGAGCAAATGTTTCCAGTAAAGCACACAATATTTTAATTAGATGTTTTGAATGCTGAAGGAGTAAGAATCAATCAGCTACTGGATGACATCTGTGCAGATTCTGAAGAAGTTATTTCTATGCACAACTTTGCTTCTAACACAAATGAGATAGCATGACTCCGAGTTTAGCTTCTTATTCTTCAGAAAGGTTTGAGGACCAAGTTTCAGATGTGGTGGGGTTATTCACCCTCATATCTAGCGAGTCCCATCTATGAAACTGCTTTAGTTTTGTTTTACATGAGCAAAAATAGCTTTTATTGTAGGCTCGCTTTTCACTGTTGAGAAATGAGGGTTAAGGTCTCAAATCCAAGCAAAGCGGGGTCGGCTGCATCATCTCCATCCTCCTTGATTGGTATCCTGGGTAACCGACACACATGTTAGCAGAGACAGTGCAGCGTGATGGGGCAGGCATCCAATACCCTAAGTATGCTTTAGTTACCAGAATATTTGACACACCCACAAATCAAATAGCAAAACATTTTAATCCATTAATTCTAAAAATAACAGACATTTTATATCCGGTGCCACCTCCTCAAAAGTCTACTGCAGATTAGACAGCCTGACTGTGAAGTACAAAGCCAGACATTAAAGCTGAAGATGCAGTTTGGGACAAGACCATCATGGGGAGATTTTCCTCCCCTTTGCTCTTAAACATAAATTGTCAGCTTAAAAAATCCTTAGAAGGAAAAACTGTTCTCACACGCTGTAACCCTTCTCTTAAATTTAAAAACTTTACCTGTCCGCAATGTTTGTAGGCAAAGCAGATCATCAGAAAACCTACCTCCCAAGTACAAGAATCTGAGCTGGACTCACGGACTAATGACTGTGGTTTACTTCTATTTCTACCAATACTGTGATGTGAGGTACTATGGTTCTTGTTTTAGTTACAAGAGGTGTTAGGAATGAATGCCCACTCACATTTAATAATAACTCATCTAGCGCACAACTCTGCAGCACAATACCAACAACAGGAGTGTTTTAAAGCAGGGCAGAGAAGAAAGTAGACATTAATACAACTTAAGTTTTCCTTTGTCCTTCCTCTCATTTTACAATGAGAATTCAGCACAAAAACAAAACTCTCCAGAATGCCCATACTGTCCTTCAGCCCACCACATTCCAAACGTCTGATTTCTGATCCCAAGTCCTTAGAGCCTCAGGCTTTAGTGATGTATCCTTCTCGGATGAGGAAATCATAGATTTTCCGGGTTTTGTTCACGTCTATCTTGATCAGTGCTCTTGCCTGTGCCAGTCTCAAGCCTCCTTGTTTGTTACATTCGTTCAACAGAGCAGATTTGTATTCTAAATAGGCTCCAGGGACCAACCTCACCATCTGACAAAGCTGCAAGACATGGCAAATTTAATAAACATTAACATCTGTCATTCTCATGATTTAATCCAACAGGTATAGCCAAAATAAAAAAAGAGTGACATCAACCTCCAACTATTTATAGGAACTATTGGGTGGCTATACCACATTCCATTTAGTGTCATCTCTGGAGAGAACACCCCCTACGGGCAAACACCCAGGAACAGAAAGTCAAGGGGTGATGCTAGGAGAGTCTTTAGCACGTGCAGGCTGGCTCAGGGGCCTGGGCCTGTCAGGGAATAAAAGCATGTGTTCCTGGGGAGCAGCCTGGCTCACTCAGGAGTCAAGCAATAAATGCCTACGTAGAAGCCCAGCACCATTCCAACACAGTCAGTCAGGGAAGAGCCACAGCACACAGGGGTAAGGTGAGGGTGCAGACACTCTGACTCTTGAGAGTGAATCACATTATCTTTAGTGTCGATATGAAGCAGTAGTCCCCTGCTTTTGTAATTACATTTCCTACGTCAGAAGGAAAGGAAATATAGAGACTCTGTTAAAAAGGGGCCACTTTAGCTGCTAAAAATCTAGAAAGCTGGCTCAATTCCAGTTCACCTGCCATTATTCAGCTATGAGGAGTCTGAGACCATGATGTAGGTAAGGGTAAAAAATTGCTTGAAATTCTAGGGCATTCAATACTTTATCAGACTGGCCTGTGACCCTCTTTAGAAATACTTAGATATAACACACACTTCCTTCTACTCCCAAACTAATCTTTACTGTTCTTGGTGGATAAAAGGCTAATATTGCCGATTCTTGTTATTTGCAATAGTTTTGTTCTTATAAAGTCATTGTGGACACTGAACTAGTGAATATTGAACCACTGCTTCTATGGAAAATATAGGCTTAGGTTCCTGCAAGCTTCTGTTTACAACATTTTGTCAACTGATCAACATATAACCTTGTTTTATGTGTGTTTCTCTTTAAAGACATCTTATTTAATATGTCTTGTTGATTCATTAATATTGAACTCAGGGCCAACAGCACTGTAACTCATGCCTGCACAAACCTTGCTTAATCCCTGTATTTTCTCTGTAAGGGATATATAGCCTTCTTGCATTTAGGAACACTGGGCAGCACTTCAGGACCATGCTTAGTGATAATTTGAAACAGAAATCACCAACAAAAAGTACAGAAAAATACAAAAAACATGACACTCAATAGACCACAAAAAGGATGCTTGTTTACAGTATGAGAGCTGAAACAAGGCAGAGCATTGCTTTGTTCAATCTCATCCGGGAAGGTGTGCGTTGGACAACTCCAATTTTCTCCCACTATGCACGTGTCCGTGAATGACCACAAAAACACTTCAAGTTTTGACTTTGGGGTTACAAAAAAATTTTAGTGAGTAGGTGAATTCACGAATATGGAATTGAAAAATAATGAGGATTGACTGTACTAGCCCACCACACTGTGATTCTTCTTTATTGTCTGACCTGACCTAATGTCAGGGGGTGGCAGATGGGGAGACTGATCTTGGGAATTGTAAAAGGAGCATATGAGGAGCACAAGAGGAATCCCTCTGTTGGAATGGACTTCAGAGCCATGGCACATTCTTTTGAAAACTCTTGATGCCTCTTTTGTGGCTGGGTTTAAAATTTAGAAACAGCCAAAAGCAATATGAAGACAAGTCTGATGATTACAGTGGGAAAGCAGGTCATGGTATTTTTTTATTAAAATTAATGTGTGACTATATTGATTTTTTTTATGGTTATAAGCACACTCTGAAGACAATTCCAAAAATATTTTAAGTGATGGTTATATTACTGGAGTAAGTGTTGAACTTCCCAAAGTGGCCATTCTAATAGGAAACACTTATTTTCATGAAAAAGTTATTTTAGGTTTATAAAAAGTTAATTTCATAAAGTACTTAATAGCACAGTATCCAGCACATGGTAAATGCCCAATGAATGATAGATGCTGCTATTATTTAATTTTCATATGACACGTTCTTCCCCCAGAAGAGGAATGGTGGCAGAATGAGGAAGAAAGGGGTTCTTTGAAACTCCCTGAGGTTAGCTCTTTAGCTCTTGGACTTCTCCTAGGATAGATTACAACTGTGCAGACATATCAAATGAGTGGAGTAAAAGGGGGTTTGATCCTGTAATGGGTTTTCAGTGACAACTCAATGAATAACCAGCAGCAATGGGTTTGGTTTTGTTTGTTTATGCTCTTTCCTCTAGTTCCCCTTTTTTTGTTACCTCCTTTTCTTTTTCATTCAGCTTCTCTGTGCCAGGGAGGCCAGTGAGGTTCAAGGGTGGTGCACTTCGTCTACCTATAAACACAGAAAAGGGAATACATTTATAGGTGTGACAGTTCCTCAGGTATAAAATACACAAAATTCAGCGTGCCAGGCCAGCTAGATAAAGGATTGTATATCCAGCTACAGGAATCTCTACTCATCCGCTCAGGCCTCAGTTTAGCTAGCAACATGGACACTCCAAACTTTCACTTGAAAATATAAATGGTACCATAATCCATGTGCCCTTTGCTCTGCCAAAATACACACACAATCACACATACCTTAGCATCAAACGACTACTCACAGTAGTTATCATCTATTTCTTCCTAACCAAATGACGGACCCTAAAATCTAAAGTCCAGATGTCATCCAGTTAAGAAAGGTCACACACTGCCTGCCTTGACAGCTGATGAATGGAAATACCAACTCTGTAGGAGAGACATTCCCTAACCCTTGCCACTCTGCCAGCAGCACAAGGCAAACATGGTAATTAAGTACCATTTGCCTTCAGATCAAAGGCAGACTGTTAGGCCAGCATAAGGCCCTTCTTATTTATTATGTGAGGGAATATCTGTTCCTTCCAAAGAAGCTCTGTTTACCTGAACAATCCACACAAGGGAACAATGAGCTATTATACTACAAGGCAGAGGCTGAGATCAATTCACATACCTGGGCAAGAAACCCAAGTAGGAGTTCACTGCCCAGGATGAGAAGCTAGACGTGCAAAGTTATTTTCCTTTGTTTTCATCATATGTTTGGGATTAGTGTTCAGTTGGGGGCAGATGGACTAAGTTACACAAAAGAAAACGTAGACTAATATAACAACAAGTTTTAAGGGGGTCCTTTTTTAGGGTAGCAGAGAAAGGGGATGGACTGTTACAGGCTGCTCTGTTGGAAATGAGGCTCCTCTGTAATGTCAATAAAGGAGATAAGGCTTCTCTACAACCAGCAGGCCTAGCCTTATCCTCAAATGCTCAAGAATGGAGACTTAAAATCATATGGTGTCTCACAAAAATCATCAGAGGCTAGGCTACAATCAATGATGCCAGGATTCCAAATGCAGTGCCTCAGAAGCAACTCAGAGCAAAAAGGGAGAAAGGGGTCTCCTCAGCCTAAACACAGGGAATGAGGAAGGCTAACACTAGCCTGGGAAGCAACAATGAATACCTGAGTATGGCTGGTTCAGAAAACACAAATATCAAAGTCACACATTGATGTTAGCCTGCTCATCCATTTTAATTAGCCAATATTAAGTTATCTGCATTTCTGTAGTTAGATTTTTAGGGGGAGGAGAAGGGCACTTGGAAGTAAGAAACTTACAAAATAAAACTTGTATCTAGCTGGTTTGGCAACTCACTAAAAGTTTCCTTTTTCTCCCTTAAGTATTAAAAATAATTGCTTAGAACAAAGGAATAAAAAAAAACAAAAAACAAAAAAAACCCATCCCTAAAGTAGTCTTTTCTGAGCCCTATCTAGATCCTGAATTTACTGAGGGATTTTGAATGTGATCACAGGTCTGTTGTTCCAAGCCTCCAAAGAATGGTGAAACTGCACATGGCTTGTCTTTTTGACTACTCTGTTTCTAATCAGTGGTGTGGTCACATGTGATCAGGGGAAATGGCTATCCTACCACATGGAACAGAGGAGACTGAAACCATGAAAATGGGCAAAGAAATACCACACCCTTGGTTTCAGAGCTCCTTATATAACTAATACTCCCCCCCCCCCAAATTACCAGTTACTGATTACCAATCACTAAGGATTGATTATCAGACAGCATATAGATTAATTTAGCAGTGTAAATTAACCTAAAAATAGGACACACCCAAAGAGGAAAAGCCTAAGATATAGAAATACCTTAAGTCTCCAGCTTACAAAGAAATTCTAGGTTTTCTGGCAAATAACGTGTCTTTTTGCTCATACTGGATACAAAGCTTTTAATTTATCCCCTGCAGGACAAATCTCAAAATTTGTATTAGATACAACCACAAGTAAATTAACTAACCATGAACATTGGTAAAACAAAGAAGACACCTCTCTGGAATTCGTCCTTCCCCTGTCTCTGTACTCTTAACTCTGAGGATAGTCCCTGACTGGCCATGAAGAATCTGAAAACTTGTGATGTTTTATAAACTGGGCTAACACTTGCTTATCATCACTCTGCCTAATCATCCCACTCCACAGAAGGGGAAGGGGTGTTACAGGGTCACTGTATCTCCTAAAATGCAAACTTCACAAGACTTGCTCCAGCCAGAGAAATAATTACCTGAATTCGAAGCCATTGGAATAGAAGGGCTCAGGCCAGAATCACTACAATAAAGAAGAGGAATTTAAACTTACGTCATATCGAGAAGGCAATTTCAAAAAGCTCCTGTGTGACTGGGCGCCATTCTTTATGTGAGTCACTTTGAAGAGATATAATGAAATAGATTGCAGTATGTTTTACAGGACATGCCACTGTACTAACCAGGAAAAACATCCTGTTCTGGGGGAAAAATATCTCTTGGACTTCTTGAGGCAAGCTGTTAGCCTAGGATACCACTGAGATTATTCATGGGGAAGGGATAGGAACGTGACTCTCCAGTGGAAACCTCATCAGTAGATATGGAGGGGGAGAGGGTGCGTCAGTGGGAGGCTAAGGGGGAATATACTAGTTTTTAAAAACAGGATCAAAGTAGCAAAGTAGGATCTAGAAGGTCAGTTATGTTTATCAAAACTGTCAGTACTGCACTGTTTCTAAGATGGACTGCTAAAATCTTTCTGAATTCTTCTAGCTGCCCAATTACTATTAGTCTGCCATATAGGGGGCCCATGGAAGTGTCAGAAAATACATGTAAAAGCCAAAGTGTTCAAGAGGGAATGTCTCCATCACTCTAGACTAACTGCTCACATGTCAGCTTGCCGGCGAAGCCACTGCTGGCAAGCACTACTGTCTTGGATATACTGGAGAACTTCGGAGAGCATGGTGCGTTTAAGACGTTCTTCCTCTCGTGTCTTCTTGAGGTGATCATAGGTCCTGGCACCTGGAGGTGTAGAAAATGCCATGACTGCAGTGACCATGCAGCAGACCTGAAGGGCTTCCTACCTGACCAGCAAACAGTTGGTCTTTTTTTGGTTTCCTTAGCAAAACTTCTTCCACAATTATTTTTCCAAGAGCAAAGTACATTTCCCCGAGTCTGAAATCTCCTTTCTTGACACCAAATGAAATGTTTTTCCCTTTTCTATCATTAAGAAAAAAAACAAAAAACCAAAACACCGAAAAGTACAAGGAAAATAACAGTCCCTCCTATTTCCACCCCCAAAAAGTAAGTAACTTAATATTGTCATACTTATTTCCTGTCTTATTTTTTCTATTTATATATTTTTCAAAGTCACACAAGTGATAAAAGAATATACTCTTCCTTAAAAAACAATTAGAATTACAAACAAAACTAAGTCCTCTTTGGCCAGTACAATTCCTTTCCCCTATTTCCCAGAGGCAACTGATAATCAGGTAACCAAAACCCGGTATCAGAGTCTTCATATGCATCTTGAGAAATAAAAAAGTTACAGGTTTTCTTTTCTTATATGTTAACAAGGGTATACAGATTCCAAAATACCACATCGGCAGGTTTCAAACTATGTTCCACAGAGCTCCAGTATACCATGGGATACTTAGGGGTTAGTGTGAAAAGCAAGGGAAGTGCCAAATACTGAGCTCTACACATAAGCCATCAAACTCAACCAAAGCAGTTCCATTTTTATTTTATTTATAGACTGGAGTTTCACATAAAATTTCATCTCAAAAATGTTTCCACTGTTAAAAATAATGTAAGAACCATTATACTTGGCTGAATGTACACCCACGGGGCTATATTAAGAAGCAGAGCTACTTGTAGGTAGTAGGTGATAGCTTTCAACCATCAGGGGGACTTGAAACAGGAAGAAAGAGGGAATGGGAAAGATCATTCCAACAATAACAACAAAACAACAGAAGCTATTTATTGAGGATTTACTGTGTGGTAGGTACTGTGCTATGCTTTTTACACACAATCTCTAACTTAATTTTCATACTAATGCTAAGAGACTTAGAAAACTTATGTAACTTGAACAGAATCATTGAGCTGGTGAACAGGAGAGCCAGAATCCAAACCCAAGTCAAAACCAAGTTTGAGTCTAAACCCCCAGCTCTTAACTACTATAATACACTGCCTTTCTCTTATGAACTGGCTCTATTACTAACTAGCTCTTTAATTTCTTTAAACCTTAGTTTCTTCATTAAATGGAAATAATAGTACCTATTTCATGAGTTTGTGATGAGGATCAAATAATATGATCCAGGTAAAATGCTTAGCACAGCATCTGGTGCATGGTTGGCATCTCATACATGTTGTTGTTAGGTGCTGTCAAGTCAGTTCCAACTCAAAGCAACCCCATATACAACAGAACGAAACACTGCCCGGTCCTGCGCCATCGTCGAAATCGTTGCTATGTTTCAGCCCATTGTTGCAGCCACTGTGTAAGTCCCTCTCATTAAGGGTCTTCCTCTTTCTCGCTGACCCTCTACTTTACCAAGCATGATGTCCTTCTCCAGGGACTGGACCCCCTGATAACATGTCCAAAGTATGTGAGACAAAGTCTCGCCATCCTTGCTTCTAAGGAGCATTCTGGCTGTACTTCTTCCAAGACAGATTTGTTTGTTCTTCTGGTAGTTTATAGTATATTCAGTATTCCTTGCGAACACTATAATGCAAAGGCATTGATTCTTCTTCAGTTTTATTTATTGTTCAGCTTTCCTATGCATATGAAGCAATTGAAAATACCATGTCTTGGGTCAGGTGCACCTTAGTCCTCAAAGTGACATGTTTGCTGTGATTAATAGATTACTACCACAACCCCAAGAATGTGGGATGCAAACACCTAGAGCCAGTTGAAGCTTGGTTATTAAGAATGATCAGACCATGTATCACTTAATTTAAAAGGTTTGAGGCTAAAAACTGTCAATATAAAACACTTTTTTTTTAGTAGTCACAGAAGAATCCTAAATCTAAAACAGCACCTCTCTTATCTACCTCAGATAATCCGCATAAGGTATTTATAGGGCTTAAGTAGATGAAATGTTACTAGAAAGTAAGATCAAAAGCTCATTCTGAAAAAGCAAAATGTGTTTTCAAAAAAAAAAAATATCATAACACCTTAAGAACAGAGCCTTCTCTGGAAGACACTTGCCCTCAATATGTAGCTTAAGCATACTTACTACAAAAATTGGTAATGCCTGCTGTCCTATATTCCTGGAGCCTCTTGATTTCCCTTCGGAGTTCAAATTCCACTGTTTTCCCCAAAAAGAACAAAGAGAAAAATTGAAAGAACAAAATTAACATGAATGAGCAGTTTTGCTTATTTTCAGTAATCCTGCCTTCTATAAAAGACCGGGTAATTCCATTTAGAGAATCTTACTTGTTAGTAGCTTCTCATTAGAAAAACCTACTCCAGTTGTCCTCCAGCTGCTGTCTCAGAGAGAGCAGCTGAAATTGTCTCTTAGAAAACTTAGAGAATTGGCTGGATTCATTTATCTACAGAATACATATAATTTTTTTAAACAACCAAGTTTCCCTGCTCTGATAAAATTTCTAGCCACATAACCAAATTATTTCATGAAACATGTGTCTGTTACTACTTGATGTGTCCCTGATGCAAGAGAAGGACAAATGCTCTGCGCTCAAGAACCAGACAGTTTCTTTATAGTTTTTCTCCTTTAGGGACAAAAAAGCATTGTTTTCCATAAAGCAAAGACTTTTTCCTCCTCTGAGCTCACAGATCAGGTTGCAGTACTTGGGGTTATTATGTGATACAACATTCAAATTTGGGTACTTTTGGAACAGACGATAAAGAAAGAGCCTGGACAGACCATGGGGTATACTCTGGAGGTGACACATAAACCAGGGATGACACAGGCTGGGGCAGGGAGTAAAGGATCACTCACCCAGTACAAACCACACAAAGAATGCCAACTAAACAGGGTGTCTGGTGAGGACAACCAATCTGACTCAGATAAATGCCTGCAATGCTTATGCAGGAAATATTTGCATGATGACGACAGGAAAGGTAAAGTACCTTTCCAGAACTAAACTGAGGGGCCAAATACAAAAATCTTATGATGAAAAGCTACAGAATAAGCCACCTAGTCCAGATTATTTTAAAGTCCAGTCCTTACTGTCTTAACAACTTCAATTTTTTATAGTGAAAATCAAACACTAACTGGGTAAAGCTCTCTTAGGAATACTCCAGAGAAATGCAAGACCAATGATGGAAGCACTATATCCACAAGTCATCCAACTCTGTCCTCATTTTTAAAACTAGTTTTAATATTAAAATATTTATGGGTAAAATAATATGATGCCTGAGATTTACTTAAAAATATTCCAGTTAAGGGTGGGAACGAGGTGGGCAGTAAAGATGAAAGCAGACTGGCCAAGTGTTGATAATTGTTGAAGCTGGGTGATAAATATGTGGGGGTTCATTATACTATCTTTACTTCTATATATATTTGAAAACTTCCATAATAAAAGGGGGAAAATACTGCTAAACTACTTTTTATGTGGGAAAAAAGGTAAGCCGTTAGGCTTTTTAATCTCTCTTCTCCCACCCCCACAGTCCCAAATTTATCTCATGGTAATAAAGGGGAGCAAAGCCAGCAATATCCATTTATTTATTTATAGAACTTCACAAAAAACATACTATTATCTCTCCTATTTATATAAACACACACACACATACTCGTTCAAGGCTCAAAAACCACCTACATGCATGGCTTTCAATGAACTTGTCATGTTCCACTGGTCCCACAATCCTTGCAAATCGCCTCATGGCTTCATAAAGGTCTTGGACTTCCTTGGGATACCGCCGTTCCATTACTTCAGAGAAAGTAAAAACACAACCATGTCATGGAGAACATAAGGATTCCTAAATTTTCTGCATTTCTTTTACAAGTGAAATGGGAGGACGTTAGTCCTAGCCTCCTATGACTAACTTACCCATGACAGGAAGCAAACAGGAAAGCTAAGAGTGCAAAACACTAATCATGATTAACACTCATCACGGTAACTATCACATAGAAATGTTGTTACCACTAGAGATCATCTCCACTCTGAGCACCCTGGTGACCTCCCATATCTCATTGTCTTTTAATGTGAAAGACAATCAAAGGCAGATTGTGCATTCTCAGGAAAAATGTTAGCTAAAATCTCTAGTATTAACTTGCACAGAGACACAAGGAAACTGCAGCCACAATAATCCATCTAAAAGTTGTAGATTCTCCTGGGAAAAGTGTGTGATCTCTTGCCTGCCCTACCTGGAATCTTCTCCCTACCCACAAACCCTCAAGTGAGACATATATTTCTTCACTCTCCATATGGGTCTTTTGCCTTTCTCTTAAATTAAGTACTGCAACTTAATTTACTACTAATGAAGTTATATTTTGGTAACTACCATGTGCAGGGCAGCAAGGACCAGCAACTTTGGGGATCACCACTGACCACATTTCTAATGTAAGAGATACTGACAAAGAGGATGGGTGTAAAACCAATCGACAACCACTGATAGTTTGGAGGGGCCAGGAACTCGTGAACTACTGCTCAATCATTTCAATTAGATAATCGACAGAACTAGGCTAGTTCTGTCTACTCCTGAACTAGATACAAGCGTTCACTTATGACTTATTTAAATTAAACCCTCTTTTCAGATGAATCTCTTCCTTGCAGGAAACATTCTTGTCCACAAATTCTAGGAGCTGATGTGATCAGTAGCCATAGATTGATTATTTTCACTACCAAAAAACCCTCACTGCAGGAAAAACACAAAAGAATTTGGCGTAAAATTTTAAAGTTTGCAGAAGAAACAAAACAAAACTTGCCTACCATATCAAGGTCACTTGTACATTCAGTATAATGGCAACTGAATACGTCTGAAACCACATTGCACATGCCACTTCTACATTCTCAGAAGCAACAAAGCTTCCCCATCAGCACTCTATTTTAAAAAATATAGTTAACAGAATAATGAGGCCCAGCTGACCTCTGTCCACCAGCTGAGAATAGAATTTATGTGAGAGTCAATGTCTACTATGAGTCAAGGTCAAAACTCAGCTGACTTATTCTGGAAAGCCCAGGAATTCAGACAAAGGAACCTACAACTGTGGCTACCAGAACACAACCAATTATCGTCTATAGAAAGGGCCAGGGAAATCTGATCCTGAATTATTTTTGTAAACCTACAGCTCTTGATGAGGATGGGGTTAAACAGGCAATCCCATACATTGCAGAAGGAATATAAATGGATTCAACCATTTTTTAAAAAACAATCTGGCAGCATGTGTCAAGAGTTTTTAACGCTCATACTCTTTGATGTATTAATTCTACTTCTGAGAATCTATTTTTAAAAAAATATCTTAAATATAGACAGAGCTTATTCACAAATAAGTTCATCACGGCATTATTTATGCAGATTAAAACAACTGAAGATAAGCTACATATCTAACAATAAGACAGATTAAACATATAATTATATAGCTAAATATATATGTACACATATATGTACACACACAACATATTATAGAACTTTTAAAAGTGACATCCTCAAAACACCACATTTGAAAAATATGTAAGGTTAAAAAAAAAAAAGGACACAAAATGTAACATACTTATGATCATGACTATATATTTTTTAAAACTACATATAGACATTTATTTAGATTGAAAAGACATACAACTATTATAAATATTTTAATATAAATATTGTGATGATTATTATTATTATGAGATCATCCTTATTTGCTGAACAAACTCTACATTATAAAACAAGAAAAAGTACAGAGACTTTTTCTGTCCAGCTTAGATATCTCCTATATTTAAAACAATAAAATCAACATTACTATTCATTTTAAAATCATTATAGATTATCATCATCGTATAATGTTAAATGTAATTTTTTTTGTTTGTCTTCCACCATGCAAAATAAAGATATCAGTTTCTGTAGATTTTTCCATGAAAATGTTTTTACAACCTGACGATCAAGGTTATGTAATGTTTAACATGTAGTTAGAAAACATGACCCAATCCATTTCCAGAAAATATTACATTAATATTCATGCTGTGTACTAAGTTTTTTAAAAAGAATTCTAATACAAAGGTTGGTAACTATAAATTAATGGTTCTTAACTCTCACTGTGCATCAGAATCACTTTGAAGGCTTTTAAAAAATACAGCTGCACTAGCTCCATCCCCAGAGATTTTTAGTCTGAGGTGATGCTCAGGCATCAGAATTTTTTAAAGCTTTCTAGGTGGTGCTAATGTGCTACTTGGATTAAGAATACTGCCCAAACTGATTTGTTTTAAACTATTTAATAATGTTGAAAGAAATTTTAAAATAAAGAAAACAGCTAATACTTACACTGAAACTTTCTAAGGTTGATCAGTCCATGGTCTCTTATAATTCTAGAATGAAAAACCACAATAATCTGTACATTATAATTAGTTTCACATTTAATGTTTTCCACAAGTTGTTTTTATTAGAAATCCTAAACACTTTGAGGTAGAACACTAAGGTCTAAAGAAGTCATTCCCCACAAAGTTCTGCAGGTCAGTGAATCACTTATACAATTTTAGGCTTCCAAGCATCACAGATTTTCCCTCTCCTTGGGCAAAATAGGCTCTCAATAGATATCCTGGTTGAATAAATGAATCAATGAGCCCTCACAAATACTGAAAAACAGGTCTGTCCCTTAAGATGAAACAGAAGGGAAATCTGTGTCCACATCATAAAAATCTATTCAGATTGGGAAAAGGATAATTGAGAACAGCCATTTAAGGGAAACCTATTAGCCATAAAAGGGCACCATGATCACACAATGAACATTTACAACTGTGCATTCACATAATGCTTTGAAGCCATTCGAAGTATATATATAGTGCATGTTTTAATGGAAGGGATCACAGAACATAAGATCATAAAACAGGAACCTTAACTACTGAGTTCCACAATATTCTTTAGCTCCAATTGTGTGTTTTAAGTACAACAGAATTTAACAAGCCATGCAGTCATGTGTCTGGAACCTTTGATTTATACCAGAAGTATTCATGACTAGGAATGAAGCTTCTCACAAGAGCAGCTGGGTAAGCTTCTTCAGTACTTCATGAAGGCTAACTCCAGACATGCAGAGAGTAAGCTTTAGCTTAAAACACATCTTTGTCCCTCAAGACTGCCTCCCAAGTCGCTCTCCTTTTTACTGTTGAAATAGCACTAATAACACAATAATATGCCCACACAAATACACACACATACACACACTCACACCCTCTGCATACCCTTCTTTGAACTTGTTTAATCTCTGTAATCTAAAAGGGGTCTGGGATCCATAATTTCTAAATCTGAATGTATTTTTTTTGATCTGTTGCAATGAGAAGGAATAACCAGGAGTCCCTGAAACTTGTTCAGAATTTCTTTGAAATCCTTTTAGATGAAAGGCTTCTCATAAAAAATGAGCAGTTAGAACGACAGCATTAACGAAAATCATAACAACTTAGTAACACCACGAATTTATCTTGTTTTTTTCCAAAGAACTCAAAACAGTGCACCCACGTAATGATAGTGCTGGTTATCATAACATCAGCGAGAGGTAAGCAGAAGGTAAAAACAGGGTGGAACCTCCCAGGTCGAGAAGGGAGAGTGTTGACATGTCGTGGGGTTGTTAACCAATGTCATAAAACAATATGTGTACTGACAGTTTAATGAGAAACTATTTGTTCTGT